TAAAAAACATAATAAAAACATATAATAGGTGCAAAACCACCATAGGTGCATTTTAGAATAATTGATATAAAAAATACTATAAAACATACTATAAAACATAATATAAAATTTTATAAGACGTAAAATAAAAAATCCCGTGCGAAAATACCGTGAGATGTAGTGTGAAAAATACTGTGAAACGTAGTGTGAAAAATACTGTGAGACATAGTGCGAAAATACTATAAGACATAGTGCAAAAATACCTTGAGACGTAGTGCTAAAAATACTGTGAGATATAGTACGAAAAATGCCACGAAACGTAGTACAAAAAATACTGTGAGATGTAGTATGAAAAATATTATGAGACATAGTACGAAAAATACTATGAGACATAGTGCGAAAAATGCTATGAGACATAGTACGAAAATATCATAAAACATAATATAAAAAATACTGTGAGATATAATATAAAAAATACTGCAAAATGTAGTATAAAAAATACTGTGAGACGTAATGCGAAAAATACTAAGAGACGTAATGCGAAAAATACTATGAGACATAATGCGAAAAATACTACGAGATATAGTGCGAAAAATACCATAAGATGTAATGCGAAAAATATCTCGAGATATAATGCGAAGAATACTTAAAACGTAATGAGAAAAAATACCGTAAGACATAATACAAAAATCCCATGAGACATAATGCGAAAAATCCTATGAAACGTAATATGAAAAGCCCTTGTGGACTGAAAATTTCTTTAAACGTATATATGTACGTGTGTACTATGAAACTTCCATAACCATAACTTTAAAAAGCAAGTTGGAGTTAGCTTTAATAATAAAACTATTTACAAAACTTCATATACTTTAATGAACAAAAAAAAAGAAAAAAAAACATAACTTATAGCTTATTGAAGCTGTAACCCATTCACTCTATTTTATGCATTATGTCTCACAGTATTTTACACATTACATCTTGCGGTATTTTTTGCATTATGTCTTATCCCTTAAATTGTAATACAGGCAAATTTGCCTGCGTTTATTTTTTTAAACTTTATTTTTTTAATAAAATCT